TTGTCAAAACTCTCAAAAACTCGATTTTTAGGTGAAACGGTTTTCTGGAAAACTCTCTTCACTAAGTTTCTTTAGAAATTCTGGCTCATACTATATTCGATAGAGATTTTCAAGGGCTTTCGAAATCACTATTTAGATTTTACCTAGCTGTCTGTTTTTGTGGAAAAACTTCAAAAATAAAAGGGGGTCTTATAATTTTGGTACACCCTATACATTTCTTTCAACGACTCAACATCGCTCTACAACACTGTTTATTCTTTCACTTCAATATAGAGTTTCATTCGCATTGTGGGAGAGACTCTTGTACGTAACCTAGTATTAGAACTTCGAAGAAACATATTCTTAATTCTTACAAAAGAAAACGAATGACAAGTGACCTTGAAGCTGGCGACACTGCGATAAAAGCTTTGCAAAGTATTGTCGAAACTATTCAAAATACATTGGCATGTTGGAAAAAGAAAGAAACATTGACTAGCGGCACTTTAGCGGACAATACATTATTAAATAATTGTTTTAATACATTTTCAATAGACAAAGATGAGGATGACCGTCTGCAAAGACTAACAAATGAAATTCAGAATATATTTAACGATTGTCTTCCAATATTACCTGGAAACTATCAACGATATTTATGTAATTTATTATTTGAATATCATTATGATTTTAAAGAGCATAAATTTAAGGAAAGTCTTACCATGAGTATACTTCCTGCGTTTCTAAATGATCTCCAAGCTACTCGTGATTCCTTCGACGCCTTCAAAGCTGCATGGAATGGGAACGTAGATATCGTAAAAGAATTCGTTACTAAATATCCTAGCTTCAACGACGAATTTGGTGTTTGGGGTACAACATTACTGTATTCGGCAGCTCGAAATGGTCACAAAGATCTAGTAGAATATCTCGTTTCAGAAGCTGGCTGCTCTGTGAACGCTCAGAATGAGCAACATTTTGAGAGAGCTTTAGGAGTTGACACAATTACAGCACTTGATTATGATGTGAATCCCAGGGCAGGGTCAACTGCTTTGCATGCTGCATGCTTCTATGGACGTTTGCCGATTGTGAAATATTTAGTTGAACATGGCGCGGATTATTACATTAAAAATCAAGCAGAAGAAACACCTATCATGAATATAGAACGACATGAGAGTGTTAGAAATTATTTTTATAGTATAATGAATATAGAATATTCGAATAGAAAAAGAAAATTGCCTGAGACACCTATTCTTGACCGTAATCAACCAGTGATAGAAGACTGTGTTTGGGAATATAAACCGTTTTCTGACAAGCATTGGCACTCTTTCAAAGCCGATCAATCACAGGAACTACACAAGTCTCTTACATTAGAATCAAGTCAACCGTTTCAACATGAAGTTTACTTGCATGAAGATTCAACGATTTACACAGTTTCAACGAGCGAATTATTAAGATTTGAAGATGATCCAGAGAAAAACACTGAATTAGCGTGGGTTCGATGTCGTGGTTCTTCAATATTAAATTTCAATTGCTATGCGTTATGGCAAATTTTTTTGACTAAACATCCAAAAATAAATGTCAACAGTGTACCATGCCTAAAAGTGTTCGATCTTCCAGCGACGGACGATTCATCATTTCAACTGCAACTGAATACTTGGTATAATTGTGATGCAGAAACAAACGCACTCTTAGACGATGCCATGAACTATTATCGAAGAGAGATGTCAACATGTATTAGTTGTATAAGTGATGATCGAGTTCAAATTAATATGGCAACATTTTCATTTAGTGACAAACAAGGGGATATTTCAGGTTTCATAAGATGGATACCAAAACTTGTATCAAAAAATGATGACAATAAAAATGAATTAAAAAATATTGATAACTTTCAAGCATTAAAAAAATCAGACGTCATGTTACTTACTAGAGACCGTCTTAAAGCTATTCAATTAAAAGGCCACAATTCACCCGGACAAGATGAAGCATACATGGAAGATGAATCCGGTGATGATAATGAATTATTAGGTAGCTCTGATCAAGATATTGATTTAACAATCGGTGAGGAAGAATCAAAAATTGTAAGTAAACGATTACCTGTATGAAGTGATTGCCAGTTGTTCTTGAATAAAATTAGACTGATCTGATGATGACACCTAAGCAATCATGTAATAGGTATCATTGCATGATATTGGTAAGCTATTGAACGATGTTGCAATTATGCTTTAGAAATATTTCTTACAAAAACTGGCGTTCAGTCAGGTTATGGATGCCGAGTGTATGTTTTGTTCTGTTCAAAATTTTTAAATATTATTGATATCTTCTTAATGTCATTCGAAAATAGTCTTTTAATTCGTATTAAAAGAGTGACCCATCATTTGGAGAAATAGAATGAAGAATTATGCGATAAACGATTTAGTTCTAATTATAATCAAAAGGACAGGGGCGCATAAGAAGCCAATTTGGCTCATATAATATTTTCAGTCACTTTACTGCACATCCTATTCAGAAAACTGTGTTGATACTTTTGGTAATAATTTCAAGTCAAGCTGTAAGGATTATAAGCCACTTTGCGGGAGAATGCCTGCAAAAAAGTATTGAAGTTTCATTGGGTTCATAGTTGTCTAGTATTAGCTCAAAATATACGACTTTTAGGCAATGTTTCAAGCTCAACCCATATCGGTTAGAAAGAGCGTTTAATACTGCATCGTTTCATATAAAAACTACTATTCTCTCATTAAAGATTTAATCATGGAAAATACTGTCCTTTCACAGGGGTATGCTTCGGTATCTTACATCCGAACAATAAATAGAACTGTTTGACATATTTTTACGTGTAAGCCAAGCTTTCTTAAATACCATTCGATAGAGCGAAGAAAGAGCTACAAAATGATGCATAATTGATTTGATTGCAATATGGGCCACTATATTGAAAGTGTGTATAAACTGTTTGGGAGCACAAAAAGTACACTTTTTTGCTCATTATTGAGCGAATTTGATAAGAGTAATTCGACTTTTGATAGACGAAAATGGTATATTAGAAATCAGCATAAAAAACTGAGTCGATCCATATAGTTTTGCAAAATTTCTGAGTACTTTCATTTTCGTCCAAAAATTCAGCTGGGGTCCCCCTCAGGATTAGGTCAAAAAATGAAATCCATTAAAACAGTGTTTTTATTTATTAGTCATTTGTGTTTTTAAATTTTCTTAACTTTTAACAACTGTAGAACTTGTTTTTCACAGTCCGAATGGCGTTTCAATCGATTTCATTTTTTGACCTAACCCTGAGGGGGACCCCAGCTGAATTTTTGAACGAAAATAAAAGTACTCAGAAATTTTTCAAAATTATATGGATTGACTCGGTATTTTATGCTGATTTCAAATATACCATTCTCTTCTATCAAAAGCTGAATTATTCTTATCAAATTCGCTCAATAATGAGCAGAAAAGTGCACTTTTTGTGCTCCTAAACAATTCATACACACTTTCGATATAGTGGCCCATATTGCAATCAAATAAATTATGCACCATTTTGTAGCTCTTTCTTCGCTCTATCAAATGGCATATAAAAAAGCTTGGCTTACACGTAAAAGCATGTCAAACAGTTCTAATTATTGTTCGGATGTGAGGTACCGAAGCATACTCCTGTGAAAGGACAGTATTTTCCATGATTAAATTTTTAATGAAAGAATATTAGTTTTTATATGAAACGATGCAGTATTAAACGCTCTTTCTAACCAATATAGATTGGGCTTGAAACATTGTCTAAAAGTAGTATATTTTGAGCTAATACTAGACAACTATGAACCCAATGAAACTTCAATACTTTTTTTCAGGTATTCTCCCTCAAAATAGCTTATAATCCTCACAGCTTGACTTGAAATTATTACCAAAAGAATTACCACATTTTTCTGAATAGGATAGGCGATAAAGTGACTGAAAATATCCTATGGGCCAAATCGGCTTCTTATGCGTCCCTCTCCTTTCACTATTTTATATGAATATTTTCAAGTTTGCTACTTTCATGCGGGCAATATATAGTGCATTTAATTGAAAACCTGAATTCATTTTGAGGATCCTCATTGATGCCGTTAATACTAAAGATTTTTATTTTGCTTTACGTATTTCACTGATTGTTTAGACTGATAGAACTGTTGCAAATACACAAGTATCTCTTGACGCGATTATCAGTGATAATGAAAGCTTACCGTTACAAATGACAGATTGTGATGAGAATGAAACTGAAGATGACATCAATGGTCATAGCAACCATAGCACAACCTCGGATCAAATGCCTCTCGTTGAAATTCACAATGTTGGAGCAGAAGAAGATATGCTTGACAAGACGCTCACTGCATTGCAAGAAAGTGACAAAATTTATACGCATTTGATTAATTCAGAAGAAAAACAAATTCTAACGCAATCCTTTTGGGAAGAGAAGTTGAAAAAAAATTATGATCATGAGTTGAAAATATTACGGAACAAACTTGATGCAATGCACACTGAAGGTAATGAAAGGCAACAGCAATGGCTGAAAGCTAAAGCGGAACTCGATGAGAAATATGAAAGGGAGAAACAAACAGAAGCTGAAAAATTGTCTAGTGCACTAGAGCAAATTAATGGGCTAAACAGTCAGCTAGAAGAAATACGAAATCAAAAGGAAAGATTGAACAGAATGAAAAAGACTATAAAGATTTTTCAATATATAAATATTGAAAAACAACTTATGCATGACTTTATAATGCCAAGATTTCATGAACTTGTCACTTATGTGAAAAATAGTGCTGAGAATGTTGATGAATATTTTATTGATCGAGTTCCAAAAATCACATTTGAACAAACAACAATTACATATACTATAAGTGTCACTGGCTTCGAAAATCATAATATTGTACTCAAAGATGTCCTAAGAAGACTTCTCAATCTATCAAATTCAACTAAATCATCTGAAGATTTCTATCAAAGAACCCTAAATCGAATCAAAAGATCGATGAATACGATACTATACCAAGTCCAACCGGTGACAAACATTTGGAAACAATATGTCAGGATTTTGCTTGAATTATTACAAGAAAAGGCCAAAGAATATGCAGCTAGATTTAATGATACAATCAGAGAGAAAGCAAAATCATTGATTGAACAGTCAATCTTCGGAACATCTAGTCATCCATGGGTTGAATTGAAGGAAACCACCGATCAGTTCTTAGAACGGAATCCATTCATGAATGAAATTGAAAACCTTAAGAATGCAGCGCTTGAAGAATTCATTACACGTAATATTTCATTTCAAAGAATAACATTGGAAAAAAAACCCACAGAAAAATCGATCAATACTATTCAACAATTTATCGGTCAAATCAAAACAACATTTAAAACAGAATTAAGTTACCAAGGCCATGATCTGACACATTTCGCTATGATACTACCACTGTTGCAACGGATCATGATCTATTATTCTTGTTTTAAATTAGAATTACCATTATTTGAATTTTCAGGAGATTTATTACAGAAAATTGAAGAACATACTGTGACAACGATTACCACATCGACAGGATCAGGTAAAATATCTAAGGAAACGTGGGGAAATTATTCTTGCTAACGAAATTCAAAAAGATAATCATATGAACGCAGAATATGTCGTAGCTAATATATGCATAATTTCTGCAAAAATTCTATTTTAAGACGAAAAGCACTCTTATCAGTCTTCTCCTCCTTGAGAGTATCATTCCTGAGAACGAACAAGACAGGATACTCTTGATGAATAGGCAAATTTTAGCTGGAAAAATGAATATCGTTTCTTTCCTTCTCTAGGAAAATCTAGCTTATTACCGGCTCTACTTATTGCACAAGGATATGATAAAGTAATTGTCACTCAACCTCGTCGTTTACCGTGTACAATGATTTCGAGACGTGTTAATGAAACCATCGAAATCGATGCAAATAATAAATTGGGTAAAATAGCTGGATGGGCTGTCAGTGGTGAAAAGGATAATGCAAAAGCTAACATAGTCTATTTAACAGATGGTCTCCTAAAAGAACGACTTTTATATAATGAAAATTTTATTAACACTACTCTTCAAGTAAAGAAATCGATGGTGTTTTTTTTGGATGAAGTGCACGAACGCGCTGTAAATATTGATCTTTGTTTAGCATTATTTGCTAGACTCTTCACCATAAAACCAGATCTTAAACATAAAATAAAACTTATAATTTCGTCAGCTACTCTCGATAATTCTGTACCAAATCTGTTTCGCAAAATAAACAATATATCATTTAGTGAATTTCACATGCCGAATATTGGTCTTCGATATCCTGTAAAACGCATCCATCGTCCAAAAGAAAATATATTGGATATTGTACAAGAATTATACAAGAAACGTCAACGAAATGATCAAATCCTATGCTTTGTGAATTCAGTTACTGAAGTTCATGAATGTTGTCGCCTCTTGGCGGAGATAAGTCGTGGCACAATCATTGCTCATCCATTGGTACAATCTCAAAAGGCTTCGCTTCAACAATCATACATTGAACATGGAAGTCTATTCTTTTCGACGACAGTCGCTGAAACTTCCTTGACATTTCCAGCATTAAAATATGTTGTTGATACAGGCATGGTAAATATACCTATTTATAATCCAGAATCCAAGCGAACTATCTTGGAACAAGTTCGAGCAGCTGAATCAACCATTAAACAACGATTAGGTAGATTGGGTAGAACACGACCTGGAGAATATTATTTTGTTTACACTTTCAATGTGGAAGAAAAACGTTTTCCTGAACCTCATATACGTCTATCGGATTTAACAAATCTTGAATTTTCACTGAGAAGATCAACTATTAAAAATGGATTAGATTACTTGCAACGATTTTTACCCGATAAACTAGAATCAAAAACTATTGAAACGACGGTTAAAGAACTCAGAATACTCGGTAAGTCTTACTGATTACTCTGAAACCATAGTGTAGACGCTAAAGAATAGCAGGCTGTGAATGAATGCGATTCAATATGAGTGTCGATTATATGTGAACCCAAATCCGCATTTATGCACATATATTCTCAGTCTCGGAGTTCCGAAATTAGCGAGTTGATGATAGAGCTAAATTAACATAATTTAAATAATTCAACTTCATAGAATTATCTGTCACACTTATATAGATTATAATAAACATACAGTATAAATAGATTGACGGCAGTAATAAAGAAATTCGCAGTATTAAATTTTTTATGCCAGAAACTAGTATTTACCGGGCATATCATTCAAAATATTATTTATTCATTAGATTAAAGTAATATTGATAATTTTTCAGGTATATTGGGAAAGGCTCCAAGTGAACAGTTTACACAACATGGTGAGCGTCTAGCGGCATTGCCTGATTTCGGCTCATTAGCCATGGCAAAAGCTGTATTATCAGCGCTCGATGATCATGGGTGTGGTCGTGATCTCATTCGTCTATCATCCATTCTAAGCGTTTTGAATACAACAACTATGTTCAAAGATTTACCACAGAATGTAAAAAGAAGCCCGTACGGTGATTTCATGACATTACTGAATATTATGAATGAAGTTTTATCAGTCAAGAAACGTACTGAGTCACAAAAATTTGATCTGCAGCGTGCATGTGAAGAAAAAGGATTATCTAAGGTTGCCCATATTATTGATCACGCGATGAAACGTCATGATACTTTACTAAAAGAATTCAGTAAATCGCAATTATTTTCTCATTTAGCTAAATCTCGTTCTACAAAATGGGAATTTATAGCAAAATCATTGCTGGCTGGGTATTCGGATAATGTATTTGTTTCAATGAAAGAAATACATGAAAAGACTCATCGATTTATTAGATATAACAATCCAGAAGATATAGCTATTTTAGATCTTCGATCGACACTTACGCGACCGATAAGTCAAGCACCCGTTAGTGTCGTGTTAGCAAGAGATATTCGCTACACAACGGCCGTTCGTTCAACAGCTATTCTATCGTTTGTAGGTGAAATAAGACCATCATGGATTAAACTTGAAGTGGAACGTAAAATTCAAATTAGTCAGAATGAAGACAATCATTTAAAAAATAAGGGCTTTTGGCCTCGTATTAAGTCAGTGCTAAAGACATTGGTAGGTTTGGGAGATAATAAAAGTGTTGTTTCACTGTCTGGAACAACCGGCACTGTTATTAATGATGAATTTCATTTGAGAAAAGAAATAGTAACTACTTTGAAATTCGAATTGAACAATATTTGTCAACCAAATACGACTGCATATGATAATTTATCTCGAAATCTTGAAAGTGTTACAAAAATGACAAAAATATTCGAGCCAATGAAGTGGCGTTGGGAAGCACAGAAGCAAGTTAAAATCATTGTTACTAATGATCCAGCTAAAAAGACTTGTGAAATTTCAGTTGAAGGAAGAGACTCGGAAAATCAAAATGTCAAAAAAGAGTTTGATTCATTCTTGGGTTGGTTAAAAAACACTGTGGTTATTCGACATCCAGATGCAAGTAAGTAGAACAATTATTATTGTTCAAATCTGATCAATTTCAGAAAAGAATAAATCGTAATCTTGTCTTGGTTTTTACACAATTTTAGCTGTTTTACCACGTCTACTACATCCTAGAATGCGCCAACGGTATTCTGAAATAGAAAAGAAAATAGCTCATATAACTGATATTGAAAGAACCATAATTGATCTATATAACGACGTCAAAGGAACGAATGCTACTCGTGAAACACGGATGGAGGTAGTTGCTTGGATAGCTGTATGCAAATTTCATTGTAAATTAGAAGGTGGTTTCGTTCGAGATTGGATAGTGGGTGATTATGTGTCGCGCCCAGCTGGTTTAGTAAATAATTCACAAAGTTGGATTCAATATGTGACAAACAAAGAAGGAAACGCTGTTCCATACGTACATAAGGAGGTTGTTCCATCAGATTTAGATTGTCATCTACCTGTACACAAATACTTTGACATTGATAAATTTCAAGATGAACTATATAAATTCAATATTGAATGTGAATTTATTCGAGAAGATTGGAGATATGTACTTTTGATAGATAAAAATGTACCGACTGGTCCATTTACTATGGATCTAATTGAGCCACATGTTGCGCTAACGCAAGATCGAATCGATTTTGATGTTAGTAATCTTGCATTGGAAAGACAATACCCACATGAATTGGGAATGCGTATTGATATAACAAAACCGCCATACTCAATCGAATTAGAATCCATTGTGGAGAATATTAAAAGCAAACGCTTTCGAATTCTTCGTCCAAATGACTCACAGGTTGAAGAACGCATAAAGAGAATGAATTTACGTGGATGGGCACAAGTTGGAGAACCATTAAATATTATACTACCACCTCCTCCTAAACATTATGCAATGCTTGTTCCGATACCAAAAACATCGACACTGTATAAAGCATTATCACAGGAGATGAAGAAGATTGGGAATTCAGTACAAATAGTATCAATAGAAGAAATTAAAAATCCTCTTTTAGAAGATACATATGAAGCAATGAAAAAAATGATTGCAAAACAATGTAAAAGCCGAGGTTATGACCCAAATGAACACAAGCTATTTCATGGAACACGTGGTCCTGGGATCGCTGGTATAGTTGAAGATGGCTTTGATGATAGATTTTTCGATCCGACAGGAGCGTGGGGTAAGTAAATCTTATAGATAGATTTATATGTAAAATAGTTGATTCTGGAAATTTCAACATTATTTTTATATAAAACTTAGAAAACATTCAACGTGAACTTTGACTGTTATTAACAAAATTGCGCTTAGATATAAATTCAACCTCTTACTTAGTGCCTTGAATGATTTCGTGAAGTTTCAGTTAAAGTAAAAATAAGCAAAATATCCATTCGTTTATTATTTTACATATCTGTTGTTTAACAACCATTTTAAAAAATATTAATGAGAACATGAGTCGTTGTTTCAACATCCAGGATTTGAGAAGTAATATGATCTTTCCAAAGAAGCAGTTAAGTTACCAACTATTTAGACTAAAGACTATTTTAAATTTCGATGAAATCATATGTGATATATTCATCGCATTTAATTAACTATCTTTTTTACTCTGTTTGTTTTTAGGTCATGGGGCTTATTTTGCTGATAATCCTGCTAAATCGTACAAGTACTCAACTAGTGGAGGAGCTACACAAGGACTTGTGATGTTTTATAATAAAGTCATATTGGGAATAGAGTCAGTGCAAAATACAGTTAACAAAAAATTGACCTCAGCACCACAAGGATTTCATTCTGTGAAAGGAACAGCATTTCAATTCACTGAATATATTGTCTATCGATTTGGTCAAGCTTTACCATACTTGAAAATAACTTACAAAGTCTAAAGAATCATAAAAATGTTCGCTTTGCTTTATCATTTATTCTTTAATAAATTTTAATGTATCATTCGTATGCTCTATATTACACAAAATTAATGCATGCGAAAAAGAATTTATAGTTGAGTCGTCGTAAAAGTGTAGACGGCATGCAGGGACGATGTTTATTTTGTATTATTGTAGATGGATAATCTATTTAAATTTTTTAAAACCAAGAGTAGGACACCAATAATATAATCCGCTTTTTTATTTCTTTGGGAAACGGTCATAAAAAAAGCAGCTAGCTGTTTCTCAGGGAGCTCTAAAGTACGGCTAAATCTCGTATAACATCATAGGATACTATACTAGCTTTTCAAGTACGCTATTTTTATATACATTTTGCTATATGTACTTTTCTTTATATTCGTTTTATACGTCTTTCCAGTATATCGGTTTGTTACCACTCCCTTTCTATACGCCCTTTTTGTAGGTCCTTTTCTGTACGTCAATTTTGTGTATCCTTTTCCTACATTCTCTTTCTTACATATCCTCTTCAAAGAATCAGTTACAAGGCTAAAGATCTATGAAAAGCAAGAAAACTAAAATAAGACTTTGATGACAGGTCTAAAAAACATTGGGTGTGCGCGTGAGTTTGTGCGTTATCTTCAATTGCACCCACACACTCATCTACATCCACACCCACACCCCAAGTTGGCAATTTGTACATAAGACCCACTTGCACAAGCAATTACATTAGTCTTACTGTCATGGATGAAAATTCCGGCTTGCTCAGTATCCGATATTGATAAGTATGTAACATTGTTAGCTGCAACAATCGTGCATAAGTCACTGTTTGCATACGTTCTATGTTGTAGCTAAAATAAAATTCAGCGATATGCAACGTTAAGCTTTTTAATTTACTTTCGTTTCTGGATGGACGAGTACTTTGAAAGCCTCACGCGAGGATAGTTTTCAAACTGATAACACATATATATGCTTTACCTCAAACGATATTTTATATAGAAAACTGCGCAAAAGCTACACAATCTGCATATATAATGAGTACATATATTATTTTCTCATGTGTCTTTCAGATTTAAATGAGCCTGGAGCTTTCTTTCATTTATGGAATATATATATGTAAATACCATTTAGTGCAGCTTCACCGAATGCTTTCGAGTGTGCCACATATGATTCTATTTCACGCTTTCAAATGCATATTGGTTCAAAAAGCCATCATTCAAATGTTTAATATAAAAATAGTGTCATGGTTTTTTAGTACTAGAAAAATATCACAAACGTAATAAGAGTAGAATCGAGGATGTGGGTGTAGGTGTTCGTGTGGGTGTGGGTGTGGATGTGTGTGGGTGTAATGGTATGGAGTAACGGTGTGCGTGTCTTTTGCTATACTCATCCACACCCCCACGCCAAGGGGAGAAAGAGCGAAAAGGCCGTACTTCCACGTACTTCCTATACTTCCAGACTATATCATAACTGTGCATCAGATCTCTTTAACTATTTCAAGTCTACTACAAACTGTGTTACGATATATTAGGCGGCGTCTAGCCTACGTAGGACTATCTGACAAAACGGCCCAAATACTTCATGGTACTTCCAAATTAGAGGTATCATGAAGTATTTGGGCTTTAGGATGAGGTTGACTTAAGTAAATGGAACTCCGATTATTGCGCCGTAGTACAACTCAATAGTATACTTGAAATAGCTAAAGAGATCTGGTGCACAGTTACGGCATAGTTTGGAAGTACAGGAGGTGCGTGGAAGTACGACATTTTCGCTCCTTCCCCTTGCCATACCAATACTCACGCACATCAACATACAGACGCCCACCCCACTCCACCTACACCCACATCAGAGACCGAAACGAATCAAAAAAATCCGACTCGACTCGACTCGACTGACATTGGTTGTTCAAATTTGTAGTGCTAGAATCGTTGTAAAAGTAAGTATCGAAACAATGCTTGCAGCTTGCAAAACCCTTGATAATACTGAATTCTCCATTTTCTTCGTTGTTCTTTCGGAAGCCCGGCAAACCAAATTTAGTCCGACACGCAGCAGTTGTACGTTTATCGTGGTTTGGCAAAACCTTGTAGTGATTCTTGTCGCGAATTAGTAGCTGTTTGATGCTGGCAGGTGTGTAAGTTTCCTGAGCAACTGAAGAAGATAGCACCGTAGAACGTAAAACAGACGAGGACACTTCGGACAAACATTGTGTCGAATCGTCGTTGGTTAGATCGATCGACATTCTCAAAACACTAATGATTGAAGTTTTTAATTAAAAGACGTTCAATCATTAATAGTATATGAGATGAAAAAAAGGGTGTGGGTGTGGGTGTGGGTGTGGGTGGGTGTCGGTGTGGGTGTGGGTGTGGGTATGGGTGTGGGTGTGGGTGTGCGTGTCGGTGTGGGTGTGGGTGCGGGTGTGGATGTGGGTGTGGGTGTCGGTATGGGTGTAGATATAGATGTTTCATCAACTCACACCCACACCCACCCACGCACAACCACACCGACACCCACCCACACGCACACCCACACCCACACTCCACATCCACACCCACACCCACACCCACACCCACACCCACAGCCACAGCCACAGCCACACCCACACAGCCACACCCACACCCACACCCACCCACATCCGCCCGATCCCACCCCACACCCACACGCCACACCCCAGCCTTTCCGAAAAAAAAATTTTTGGTGGATTCGAAAAAATTTATTTTTTCTCAAAAAGTCCGTTTCTGCATTAAAAAAACATTTTCGAGAAAAGTCTTTGAAAGATCTTGTTAGCGTCAACAGATGACACTATGTCGACGCTAACTTAATTGAACGAAGTTCAATTGGTTTCTTCTTCTTATTTTCTCATTTTTCGGTGTCTTCCTTTTGGTTCTGTAGTTAATTGGATTTTTTCCTTTCGTTCGTTCAATAGTAAGATTTCTCTTTTTCGTTCTGTCTATCTCTCTCTAGAATTTTTTCTGATTTTGATACAGTTCAGTTGTTATTTTGTTTTGGTGAAGAGCAGTAGCATTCACTACCACTTCACTTGTGTGTGGTTTTCGCCTTCATGAAATAAATCGTTCACCTGAAGTGACCTCACATCCCCCCCTCAACTGATCACGTTTGTTCCTGAACATAAGGTAAGACCCCCTATACCCTATTATTACATCATTCATGAACTGTTGACCTAACAGATCTTTCATAGTCTTTGAAAGATCTTCCAAGGAGATTTTGAACCGGATATTATGTTTTTCCGGTAGGAAACGGCCGGTTCCTTCGCAATTTCCGGCAGGTTCCGCGTGGTTCCGAGATTTTTCCCGTCGATTTCCGGTGGCGCGAAATTAGCGGAACGTCTAGGTTCCGGATACGAGAAATTTCCGGCCAGAATACTGCTTCCATGATCCAGGTATTTTTCCGGCCGGAAAGGCACTGAAAACGGCGGGAAAACGCCGGAAATTAGACCGTTTCCGGCCGGTTCCTGAAGGATCCGGAGGCCAGAATCATCGACCTGGGTATTAAAGTTTTTGAAAAGAAACAATATCGACTGATTGTACATGATTCTCAAATTGCATGATAAGTTCTTCACGAAAATCAATGCTGACTAAAATTCAAACAGAAAACCAAATATATATTTCTCTATACATATATTGATAGAAAAAGAAAAATTTTACTTTATCATCTTCAATGATACAATGGATTTGCAGCTTACGGAGGTCATATGCAATTGGAACTTGCTGAGCTAAAAATAACATACCGAAAATAACTTTTTATGTCTCCAGTCATTAAGGTCGATAGAGATAACAAAAAATTTTCGTATTCTTGAAATTAGTTGTTTTTTTTTCTTTGATTTGTATTCACAATAAAGACTCGATGCATGTCATTTTAATTAATTTATATTTTCATTTCTATATTAAACTATTATATTACTATTATTCATATAACTAATTAAGTTGATTCGATAACAATCAGCCATGACAATTAATTATATAGTGAGCCGCATGATCTACAGTGAGACAGCTATTTTCATAAAAACATGAAAATAATTTGTGACTAATGGAAAGAGCTACGTCAGCACACTTATAATTTTTCATAAAATGATGTTTCTGGCTGTGGGTGTGGGTGCTGTTCTGTTCTTCGACAACACAGCCGCATCATCGAAATCGGTTTTTTATGAAATTTGAAATCCAACGATTTATAAACTCGAGCAAAATCAGCCGATGCAAGTTCATCGATGAATGAATGAATATTAAATATCTATTTGAAAATGATGAAATATCTGTTTTCTTGAATCAATTATTGCCAAACGAGCAAATTTCTCTGAGTTGAAATAGAACAAAAACCTGAAATTACAACCAAATATTTGTCCGTGGAAACAACGAATGATGTCAATTAAGAAAACGTCAAGAGATCCATATATTTTATTTTATCGTGTGAATCTCACAGTGATGTCGACAAATGACATGCAATTTTGTTTTTACCATCGATGATGACCGTTGCATGACAACAAACAGAAATCGTCGTCACTGTCGAACTCACTCAACATACGATCTATCAAATTCGACAAACACAATCAAAGCTTCGAATAAAAAGTCTTCATTCAATGAATAATGAATTAAAATAGGTGAATGAGCGAATTTCAAATGAAATAATATTTTTTATTTTAACAGCAGTAACAGAAAATATAATACACAATATCAGAAAGAAAGACACTGCAAAAGTAAATTCTGTCAAAATGGTAGTCTTTCTTTCTGATATTGTGTATTATATTTTCTGTTGCTGCTGTTAAAATAAAAAATATTAATGAATAATTCAATAGCGTCAGTTATCAAAATATTCTTTCAAATAATTATCTGAAATCGATCGATTTCTGAATAATACTTTCATCGAGTCTATTTTTGCACGTTGTTTAGCATGTCTAAAACTGCACCCAGTGACTCACTGCTGATGTATTACGCATCTCCATCATTTTTTCTTCTCGGTTCTGTTCCAATTCATGAATCATAGATACTGTCGAACGAGATAAAGCAAAAAAAACAACCATGCGTCGTTAGCACAACATTTATTCTATGATACGAACGATTCATTTCTTCTCTCATGCCCTCAGTTGACTTCTGTTTGTTTGCACCGACAATTAGTGAAGCTACTCTAATTGGATCTTTCTCGGGATGGCAAGACGTTCCGATGACCCCAGAAAATGGGACGTTTCGTTGTTCAATCGATATTTCTGATGGCAAGCATGAATACAAGTTTCGTGTTCGACGAACAGATGGAGACAACTGGATAGATGTAATCGACCCCTATGTCAAAGAGTACGATCCAACGCGTAACACAGGTCTGATCAGTATAAAAGATGGAAAAGAACAAATGGATGAATTCATTTGGAAACATGATGATATCAAACTACCTGATAATAAGAATTTGATCATCTACGAATTGTATGTCGCAGACTTTTCTGACAATGGACAATTCTCGGGAATCATTGGCAAGTTAGATTATCTGAGAAATTTGGGTATCAATGCTATCGAGTTAATGCCAATTCAGGGTAGGATGTCTCTCATTCTAGTCTCAAATAACAAAACTAGACATCATTTTGGCTTGTATGTTTAGAATCGATGGGTTTAGCCCATGATTGGGGGTATTCTACTAGAAACTTTTTTGCTCTAAAACCAACATATGGTACGTCCATAGACCTGAAACAACTTGTTGACGAATGTCATCAACAAGGAATTCGTGTGTTCATTGATGGAGTTTTCAATCATTCATCAGGCGATTGTCCTCTTGCACTCATCGATCATGATTACTGGGTGGGTTGAATTGAAATGCATTAGAATTACATTTTCACTCTTGTTTTAGTACTACAAAGACAAGCATCATCCGAATGGTACGTGAGTAAACATCTATTTTTTTTGATTCCTATTAAATTTTCAGTGTAAAGAACCATTCTATTGGGGACCTGAATTCAACTATGAGTATTATGACGAGAAACAGAATATGAAACCGGCATGCAAATATATCATCGATGTGGTTCGCTATTGGATTGATAAATTCCACCTAGATGGCATTCGTTTCGATGCTAGTAAGTATAGAAAAATAAACACATTTGAAAATATTCGATAGACAAATGAATCGTTTTGATGACCTCTACGGAAATAAATTATACCTTTGTATGTTTCCTTTTGCAGCAAAACAAATGGATAATTACGATATTCTTCGTGAGCTCGACTCTGTTGCTCGTTCCGTTCGTTCTTCTCAACCGTTCTATTCTCAAGCTGAATACGTACCTGAAACGCCGACAATTGTTAAAGCAAGCGGTGGTCCCGTCGACGCATGCTGGTCTTCTTCGTTTCATGGCATTGTTGCTGGAGTTTTAGTCGATCAATCAAACTTCAATCTGGACCAGGTGAAATATATAATAAGTACGCCCTATGTTATCAACTATCTCAGTTCTCATGACAATGAACGTCTTCTTTTTCTTCTTGGCAAGAACGGCAATATCTTTGATGATGAAGCTTTTAGGTGTACGCGATTGGCCGCTATTCTACTCCTCACTTCCGTTGGTGTACCTCTCATTCAACAAGGTGACGAATTTGGCGAAGCAAGAGAATTGGGTAGCGATGAGCCAAATAAAAAGAAGTTGCCTATGCAATGGGATTTGCTGAATAATGAAGGAAATCGATTGCTCTTCGACACATTTAAACGTCTATTGGATCTGCGTAAATCTCGTGATGATATGACTGATAATAACGTGAATTTTTTCTATGAACATTTCGACAATCGAGTTCTCGCGTATGCAAGAAGTCAAGAACTGGTAGTTGTGGTGCATTTCATAAAGGATGAAAAACAAGGATATGAACTACAAAATTTTCCTGAGAATGGAAAATGGATCGACTGGTTGACGAATGAAGAGTATCAAGTCGAAAACAATACATTAAAAGTGGACTTACGGCCATTCGATGCTCGAGTTCTCATCTTGGAAAAATAGCTTATATTTGTTTTCAAGTCGTGTGATTGTCTGAAAAATCAACCCAGCAAGAAATTTGTTAGATGTTCTTTATAGTTTTGTAAACTATGATTTGTCTGGGGTGTGGGGTGTGGGTGTGAGTGTGGATGTGGGTGTGAGTGTGGGTGTGAGTGTGGATGTGAGTGTGGGTGTGTGGGCGTGTCGGCGTGGATGTGGGTGTCATTGCTCTCTTTACTCATACCCACACCCACACCCTTATTATCTTATCCATTTGTTTAACTTTCTGCTATGGACATAACATTTTCTTTCTTTTAATTAATCTCGTTTCCGTATATAATTATATGTCGCTATCATTATGTTTATATCTATTTGCTAATTAGTAGTGGTTATCTTTTGGATACGCATTTGTCTACAATTTTTATTATCATCAATAAAATCATCATTTTTTTCTGTAGTTGTCTTCTAGAAAACATTACCATGAACAACCACTCTTCTATGCCAGTTAAATTTCAAATCCATTTTTAACTGTCAAGTCAAACGTTTTGCAATCATAAATATTGAGTCCGACTATACCAGTATTCAAGCTTTTTATTTTTCTGCTTAGCATAATGAAATCAAAGGTTACAGATGCAAAAGAATCTATTGTACCTCATAGAAATTTTTACTATTACTGGAACTATTATTGATATTGTATCTGAGAAAAAAAGGACTTTTTTCAGTAGTCAATTGTCTATATGACTCAAGTATGTACGTTACTTAAAATAAATTCAGTTTCTATATAACGAACTTGGAAACTCACATGATTAGTATATCAAATTATTTACAAACAATCCTCATCATATCTTATTTTAAAATATTAAAACATAAGTTCTGCTTTCTTTTTCCGTTTCATGTGAATTCATTTATATTGCAATTTTATGAAGAGTAATAAATAATTCAATTGAAATGATTGCTCAAAGAATTTTTATTCGATCAGAAGAAAAACATGGATATTGAAATTGATCATAAAGAAGATGAAACTTGTTAATCATTTATAACATAAGTACACTCAATATATATCACATATAACAAATATATCTTAAGAGAAAGAATATGAAAAGAAAAAATAATAATATAATATATGTGAACAATTTTTTTGCAGCAACTCTTTCTTTTTTTGTGATAGATATGTAATAAAGACAAATAAACATAAATATTTTCAACTGCTTTCAACAATTTTTTTTTTAATGTTAAATATTTATTTCTTTTCTGTTTTTTGAAGATTAGATTCCAACATTAAATCAAACAAGATATTAATTTGGAGATCCAAATTTACGCTTATGTGCTTGTTTCTTTTCTATTAATTGTTGTGTAGCATTAGTTTTTTCATTTTCAAGTTCTTGAATCTTTTGTTCAAGCTGTTCCAATTCTAAAATAAATTAACATAATATGTTTAACCAAGAGATATCTCAATAATGCAATACCATCAAGACTCTTTTGCTCTTCAATTTTTATGTTATCAATTTCACCTTGAAATTCCTTTTTCATTTTTTTGTTTAGATTGATGAATAGTTGACCAATTTGTATACTAACAGCATCTATTGGATTGGCCATGTTTGTAAATTTTATTCGACAAAAAACAAATCTCTAATGTTATAAGGTATGTGAAAAAGTTCGCTTCATTTTTTTCTATCGATGTATTTTTGCAACTGTTTGAGCAATTTCGATCAATAAATAGTCATTTTAAAGAGCATGTAAAGGTGTACTTTTGGTGAAAAAATAACGGTTCTAACCCAAGTGGTAAGATGGATATAGATGCGAGAATATCATTCATGTTTTTTGGAGATGATTTTTTTATACATTTAAAATTACAAAACTACAAATGAAAACAGAACATCTTTTTTTTCTATGACAAAGTTCATGAGAAAAATATCCGTGCAACAGTGACAGTTATGCTCGCTTTATATAACTTCTTCACACAATAGGTCGTCTGGTTCACATAAACAATATACATTTCCATAAGAGAGATAGACAATGAATGGTCACAAAGTCAACAGACTGAAGAAGTTACCCAGGGCGAACATTCAGATAATAAGACCTTACAAGAATCGTACGTTTGATCATATTTGATCTGATACGATCAGACGAAAACCGTACGGAAAATCGTAGTCTCTGATTTCTTACACTAAGTCGTATTAACAGATCCTTGTAAGAATCTGTTGCGTCGTGAACTAATTACAGCACCATTCTATTTAAACTAATATGGCCCTCAAATAGCACTATAAGTTTGTG